GAGCAACGCATAGGTAAGCCAACTAGTCATTGCTAGACGAGCTAGGATACAGAACGAACTGCATGGTACGATTGTGAAGCTTGTAAGACTTATACAGGTAATTCTTAGTAATTGCCTTTCAGCGCAGTCGCACACCTAAAGGTAATATTAATAATTTTTGAGTGGAAATTAAAGAGTTTGATAATGCATAAATATCACAAATATGTTACATACTTATACAGAGATTGAGGCAAACAGGAAAATAATCGATCTCAAAAACAAACGTTATAGAAAATATTGCCACTCTCCCACTTTCACAATGTTAAAAGACGAGTAGTGGCGTATCACGTGTCCAATATCTGAGAGGGTACTGTCGTTGAGGGGGGGGGGGGGGGGGCACCAGTCCTCGTATGTGTGTGAAATACAAAAGAACAGTAGCCTTCCATCCCGTTTCTTTCTGTTTTTTCTCTCCCCCTCTATCCCTTTTTTGTTCTCCGATTATCTTTTTTTAAACCCCCTTTCCTCAAATGAAATGTTATTTTATTCCCCTGCCTTGAGTAACACTATTGTACAGTTTCAAGGGCCGGGATGGACTAATCTCAAGCTCTTTATTGATTAGTTACCTATTTCTGATCAATCGCACTATACAATAACGAAATCAAATGTGGTTGGCATACGCCATATGACGGTGATCATAGTGATGACATTTATTTTAAAATACTCTATTAATGTAGGTACGTATGAAATTACACCGTTACTGATAATGGAAGATTAAGTTTCCCTAAATAAATATTGATCATTAATATTCTTAAACTTAGCTAAGAAAGTAATGAAGGCTTACCTTTAATCCTTAACTTTCCTTTTCTAGGATGTCAGTAACATTCCCCACATCTTATAACGAGGAAAACCCCAATCCTGATTGGGTGATAAGCACATTCTCATAACGGAAGACTGAAAAGACATTTGATATAAGCTACAGAAGTATAATAATGCGAGCGAGCGATCTTTGGGGTAAATTGTTCTTAGTCGCTTGAAATTAGGGCAGGGTTTAGTCATGAGAGGAGAAGGGGACGCTTATCAGAAAAGAAAAGGAGCACATGTCTAAGATTAATTATCAGAGATGAGAATAGGGCACTTCTTACACCTTCAAAAAGAGGTACGCACCAGGGATGAAAAAGGGCATTTAAGAGAATGGGAAATCGGCATTTGCCGACGAAAGGGGTCTCCATCAGATTTTGAAAGGGGCATTTAAAAGAGGTGCATTTATGAAAATTGAGGTGCATTAAGGAAAAGGGGCACATGTCATTGTTATAAGGGAAATTATCAGAGGTGAAAAGAGGCACTTATCGCACCTAAAAAGGGGGCAATAACCAGATATGGAAAGGGTCCCTTATGAGAATGAAAAAGGGGCACTTATAATAAAGGAAAATGTGCATTAGCTGACAGAAAAGGGGCACCGATCAGATTCTAATAGGAGCATTTATCGGAGGTGAAGGGGGCAGTTATTAATGAAAGTGAAAAGGAGTAACTTCTCGTAACTGAAAAGTGTCATTTACCAGAGCAGAGATGAAAAGGAGCATTTATGAGAAGGGAAAGGGGCTCTTTTTTAATGGGGGCACTCATTAGAAAGGAAAAGGGGCACATGTCAAATTAAAAGAGACACCTCTCAAATTTGAATGGGGCAATTATCGGAGATGAAGGGGGCACTTATCAAAATTGAAGAGGGGCACTTACTAGAAATTAAAAAGGGCACTTATGAGAATGGAGTATGGACACTTACTGCAAAGGAAAACAGGACCTTATCAGAGGTTAAAAGGGAAGGGGCACTTCTTACAAAGATAAAGGGGCACTTTTCTGGAACTTGCATGCCGAAGACAAATTGGGAGGGATGGTAGTACATAGGACATGTTGAAACGTTCTTGTGAAGATTGTTGAAGACAAATTGGGAGGAATGGTAGTACATAGGACATGTTGAAACGTTCTTGTGAAGATTGTTGAAGACAAATTGGCAGGGATGGTAGTACATAGGACAAGTTGAAACTTTCTTGTTGTAGACACATTGGGAGGGATGGTAGTACATAGGACAAGTTGAAACTTTCTTGTTGTAGAAACATTGGGAGGGATGGTAGTACATAGGACAAGTTGAAACGTTCTTGTTGAAGACACATTGGGAGGGATGGTGGTACATAGAACAAGTTGAAACGTTCTTGTTGAAGACACATTGGGAGGGATGGTAGTACATAGGACAAGTTGAAACGCTCTTGTTGAAGATTGTTGAAGACAAATTGGGAGGGATGGTAGTACATAGGACAAGTTGAAACGCTCTTGTTGAAGATTGTTGAAGACAAATTGGGAGGGATGGTAGTACAGAGGATATGTTGAAACGTTCTTGGCCGATGACCTCGGGAGAGACGTCACGTTGCTGAAGAAGACAGCTTCATCCAAGGCCAGCACTCTCTCTGGTATTGTCATCATTCTCCAGCTCCAAGTGTTCTCATCACTTATGATCACCAGCTGGTTCGGTCATCAGTTAAGACAACACAAGTCAACACACATCAAGTAGCATAAAGCTACTTGGAGAGAGTTAATCATTTGGTTCTTTCTTGGAGATTTTTTTTTTTTTTTTTAATTCCTCGTAAGGAATTTTTCTTCTTCTTCTTTTGAGAACTCTGCACATGTTTTCAATCTTTGATTTGTAACTGGCATTGATTCTCTTTTTTTCTTCTCTTTTCTTTTTTAAAAATGTCCACCAAAATTATCATGCCAGTTTAATATATTTTCATATTTTTTCTTTTAATTTCAGAGAGTATTCTTTTCAGATTTTAAAGGTTTTCATAGACGTTCATAATCAAACGTTCCATTTTTTTTAGCTTCTTCAATTGAAAACATAATCGTATATTTTCTTTTATGCTAGAGTTCTCTCAATCATATTCTTTTCAAACAAACTAATGTCATACATTTCAATAGATCTTACAAAAGTAGTACATGTACATAATAATAATAACATGCAATAGTCCATAAAAGTGCATGAGAAATGACTTGAGCCTAGATCCACGTGCCTAATCAATTTTGCATATAACATTTCCATTAATTTTTTTATAGAACCAATCAAAAGCAGTATCATAAAAAGCGCATCCATAAAAAAGTGGCAGAATCATCCAATCTCAAGCCATTTCCCTATAAAGCGTTCATTATCAAATTCATAATCAATTATGAGAAAATGATAAATTCATAAGACAAGCATTTCAAGTGGAATCAGAGATTGCGATAGTGTCTCAATGTTACATTTCGTGTGAATTATACCATGAGCCAAAATAGCCTCGGGAAACAAATACTTTTTTTTTTTTGTCCAATATTTTTACTCCATACAGAGTTGTCAAAAAGACTTCCCATCAAAAATCCATCTTGAAGTGCCTTAAAACAATAATCTACAATGCTCAAAAGTAATATACAAAAAACTATAATATCCTCCATCATATGAAGCAAACAGAAATAACAGAGAAAACAAACTGTTTCTTAAGCTTTTCAAAAATAACATTTCATCAAATTTTTACACAAAATTAAGTTTTTAAAAATAGGAGAGAGTGCACCGCAACATGACATTAATATCAACATTATCTCACTGTAGTTTATGGATAGGTGTGAAAACATTACTTTTAACAAATGGCAGCTAAGATGACATCAAACTGCTTTGGGTTATTCCAGATGTGTATAAAGTGATTACTAAAGCCTTGTTCAGATATGTGGCAAAACCACAACATTTCTGTTGTTGTTATGTAAAGTGTAATACGCTTCACATCTCCATATCTTATAACACAAAGCTCAGCTTATAAGCACGCAGTTGCCATTCATTTACGCTTTAAAAAACGTAGCAGCTTTTTTTGCGGCGGTTTAACAAGCCATATCTGAACGAGCCTTTAGTCTCACAAAATCAAAATATCATATGTAGAATGATCTTCAGGTTAACTACTCATAATCTGTATCTATTCCTTATACAAAATTGCAAGATTGTATATTGTCATGATGACAGACAACAAAATTAAATCTTCATATAATGCAGATTTATCAGCCACATGAGAAAGTGATGTGTGTAAAAATTCATCAAAGTGGAAGAAAAATACAGCATAACTCACAGAAAGTATCAATCTTGAATAAGTTCTCTATAGCTTCAGCGACTGATGAGAAATATTACAAAAATATCCAAACAATCTTGATGGAGAGGAATAGGAGGGAAATATCTTTGTCATAAGTTTGAATGTGTATTGCATGAGGCATTGAAAGCCACAAATTTTGAGGATGTGACATCTCGAGGATCTGACCCCAATGCTGTGTTCATTGGGACACAATATAATTCAATATTTCCCTCACGTTTTGGAAAAGGTTGAATGTAACAAATCATTGCCTTTAAATGAGTTATGCTTTACAAAATTGACAATATACACTGCTTGTTATTTCAGAAAGGTGTAACAACTGATTTGAATTTCTGAGGCATTGAAAAGTTTTCCAAGACATCAGTGAAAGCAATGGATATTGGAATAAGAAGTGCAAATCACCTAAACTACAATTTAAGTTAGTTACCGATATTGATTTCTTAAACATGAAGACATTAAGAAACTCATGTTATGTTTCTGCTATCAGTATCAATGTGTGTATGTCCAAACTTAAAGTGAGATAAAAACTTTTAATGTAAAATATTGACATAAATTTTTGAGAAAAAATAGTAAGACTATAGATTTCACTGGATCTAATATGGACATACAGAACCTGCAATAAAACACAAGGCTCAATAGAAAATATCACCTGCCTAGAGCCAGATGGATGTTAACTCATATTGACAGACTGAATGCCTTTCTGGCTCTCCACTGCAGATGTATCTCAGTGTTGGATAGCTTTGTAAGAATGTACCCTTTTCTTGTCAGCTATGAAGTATACTCGTCTATATTTCATTTGTTATTGCAGCATCATTACAGAATATATAAACTATGGTGCCTTTGAACAGTTCATCTGATAACTGAAAGAAGACTCTCTGAGACAAAATGTGTATATAATTCAACTTCTGTTTTTCCATCCATTTTCATAGACAAGATAAAGCCCTAGACTAGAGCAGTCAACCTACTTCTAAAAATAGGAGCCGTATTTTGGCATGATTAACATTTCAGAGCTGTCTATGTTCAAATATCTTGATTTTTCGGGGAAAAATTAAAAATACCTCCACGGTCTTCTTTTGCACAGATGACAAACTGTGGAGCAAGGTATCTTGTCCAAATTAGATCCAAGAAATTCAACAGTGTCTACGTGCCTTTTTCAAGCAAGGCATTGGCTTCATAATGTACAATGTTCAATATTTGCACTCTGAATTTGTATTGAAAATTTTTTGTAGTGTCTTTCGCTTCGTCATCGCTTCCATGATCGTCCTTCCTCGTCGTCCTCTTCCTCCTCATCGTCGACCAGGAGCAGATCGTCCTCCAGCTCCTCTTCCATCTCTTCCTCCTGTTGGTTGAGGAAAATAAATAATATTGATGGCAATAATATAATGGTGACCGATCACTGTGGAACACTTTGATGTTAGGAATCTCAAGGCGGAAGTGACAGCCAAGCCCAACCAACAAAATGTGTATTTATTTATTTTCATTTGTTTATATAGTTATTGACCATTAATAATGTAAATCAGTTAATTATCAAGAAAATGATAAATTACTGTGCAATTATAAACACAGAACTTCTTTCAAAGTGACAGGGTGATCAGCTTGCTGACTGCGGTTGCTTATAAGGAAGAAGAACAAGAGTCACAAAATAATATGATGGGTATCTTAACATAACTTTGACATTCCATACTCATAAATATGAAAGGCATGTATCCCTAAAAGCATACTAATTCAAATGAAGGTTTACGTCTAAACTAATTGGGTCATGCGAGTTGGGTAGGGTAGAGAGATGGACAGTTTGAAAGGGAGATAGATAGAGAGAGAGAGAGAGAGAGAGAGAGGGAGAGAAGGGAAACGTGAGTTGGAAAGGCAGATAAAGAGGAAAGGAGAGAGTGAGATGATGATGATGATGAGTGTGCTCGTACCTCTTCATCTGCCAGTTCTTCTCCTACATCCATGGTGTCTTCTACCATCTCAGCTACAGGGTCTTGCTGCTTGTGCCAGGCTAGACTCAGAGAATCACCCTTGAACTGGTTACCTTTAGCTACAGCCTAAGAAAGAAGGGACAGGAAAACAAATAATTTGTGGTTACCTTGGCAGGAATCCATCCATCGGTTCTTGAGATAACACCATCCCAAGCTATTTTGAATACATAATAAGCCCTGAGACTTTTGCCCTTTGACATCGTGACCCCAAAATCAAATTGATTCATTAGCTCTGCAAGATACATACATGTCTCAAGTTTGGCAGGAATCTATCCATTGGTTCTTGAGGAAACGCGATCACAAGCTATTTTGCATACCTAAGCCCTGTGACCTTTAACCTCATGACCCCAAAATCTAATCAGCTCATTAGCTTTGCCAGATACATACATGACCCAAGTTTGGTAGGAATCCATCAATCGTTTTTTGAGATATCGCGATCACAAGAACGTAGGGAGGGACCAACGGAAAACATAATGCCTCTGGCTACTGCGTAAGGGAGGCACAACAACAAATATTTAATCATCTGCATGTACTGAATATCATTAGCATCAGTGTTCTGTACAAAATGTTGGTGATGGGTGCAACAAAATTCTCTGCAGGTGGTTAATCCATTACCATGCTTGGGCCAAGTCATCAATGGATTAAATTACTTCAGGGATTACCAATGCTACAAACTCTTACCATCTCTGCTTCTTGTCGCGTCTTGAATTCCAGGACATAGGTTGCAGAATCTTCGTTGTATTCAACACTGTCAATTTCACCAAAATTCTGCAAGGAGTAATAAGTGCAAAAAAAAAGGGTGGTTAGTCAATCCACTTCACACAAGAACATACACATTAACAAAATAATGAAGAAATTAAAGAAACAAATGAAGAAAAATAAAATAAAAATAAAGAAATTTTCACACACAATTTCTCAAAAAAATTGAAATGGCACAGAATAAGCATGTATTAATGATGCTTGCAGAAGCATCTCTCTTAACCATATATGTATATGCTTTGAGATTTGCACAGAAATAACGCACTAACTCGCCTGGACTTGGTTTGACAATTAAAGGGGCATGTTCTCCCTATTCCAGAGGGCGTTCAAAATACGTACCCGCTGGCGGACGGTGCTAGCTGCCTATTGACACCAACAGAATACGGCTCTTACACAGATGGCATATTCCGAATGCCCGGACAATACCGATTATCGCATACATGTGCCGAAGTAATGCCAATCGCAGTTCGGCTCTAAGATTCGGCTGCTGTTTCCGCCCACTTTCGTGACGTCGCGATCATCAGCGATCAGCTGGCTTGGCGAAGGCAGGCCAGGCCGCGCGTACTTTGATTGACAGCTGTATGCAAATTAGAAGCCGACCTTCGGAACCAAGATGGCGATGACTAGAACAGCGATAACTACACTGGCGGGAACGTGCCCCTTTAACAAACTTTCACCTGCACCTGCACAAAAGGTAAGATAATTTTCAGAACAATACCCCTACAACTAACTTCACTCACAGTAAAATGGACCAGTACTTCATCCTTATCCCCAGGTGCAAAGCCTCCTACAACCAAGCCTCTCGGTCGCTTGTCCACCACCAGGTTTGTGTTGGAGCTCCGCCTCCTGGCTGCCATGAAGCCCCGCCCGCGACCCCGTCCACGACCTCGGATTGACCTTGGGTGGCCACGGCCCCTGCTGCTGCCTACAGTGTTGTCCAACAGGCCTAAAGCTTGGGCCTGGATGGAAAAAATGTTTTTAAAAAAATCATGGTAAACTGATAAAGCTTTGCTCTAAGAAGACATTTAAAAAACTCTTTTTCACAAGGATGGCAAGTCTGCTACTACAAGGGCTGTAAATCTTACACAAGATTTTCAATTGGTGAATAGGTTCCTATGAATATCAATCAATGATTGTATAACATTTGCTTTATGTCCAATTCATCATTGGCACAAACTATCACCTGGCCCCTGCTTCATAAAATTCATTCTATCTTTGTAGCGATAAAAGAAAAATATTGTTGCCAATTTGAAGAACAATATGTGATCAATTTTTGCCCTAAAAAAAAATCCTGTCCTGAAACAGTTAATTTAGACAGTGCCATCCATATCTTTGTCTTTGTTCTTGTGTGACAAAATCATCATCATCAACAAGTCTTACCTCTCTTCTCAGCTCATCCACCCTCTTCCTCAGATCGGAGGTGTCCCCTCCTTCAGACTGCTGATTGTACAGGTCCAACTCAGTGTCCAATAGCTCCCTCTCGGCCTAGTAGGAGAGACAAAAAAAAAACAATACCAGGGGGGTGTTTCACAAAGATCCTAAGTTGGATTTAAAATTATGGAGAGTCATTTGTAGCCTTAAAATGAAATATATTCAAAAGCGAAAATTCAAGTATTTTAGACTATATATAAATTCCACATCAAGAACATGAAATCTACTTGATAATAGAAAATATGAATGACTTGAATCAACATTCTATATAACTTTTACAAAATATTTTCATAGAGGCTAACGGCTTTCCATAACTGTTAAGTCCAACTTAGGATCTTTGTGAAACACTCCCCTGATGTATAGAAAAGGATGTGATAGGAATGCCATTAAAATCTATGCAACTTCCTCATCCGGAGTTTGCAGAACAATGGAATTTTAGCAGAAAGGGACTGAACAATATGTGCTGTAAATAAAATAAATTGGAACTGAATCAACTGTAATTGAAGTCTAGCAGCGTAGTAACAGATTTTTGGTGTATGAATATGATTAGCATATCATTATTACCCATGAACAATATTGGTTTAAAAGAAAATGTACTGTTCATTGCATCAGTGAACAACCCTGCTTGAGAATAAAATCATGTGATATATTTTTTTTAAATCCACTTCTCAGCACATGGCCAACAATTTGGGTAAATCCTACGTAATTTCTCACCCTACACTGACCACGGCAATGATTCTAGTGTACCCCTTCACAATTGTATGACATTGATAATAGACCAGTTCACGGTTAGCACATTACTGCAATGACCCCGAATATCCACAGATCTTAAAATCATGAAGAGGTCCCACTTTGTACATTTTGAAATAATCACTCCTACAGCGATGGAGGTGCTATAGAAATAGCCTTTGTTTCCCCTTTTCAAAGAATACTTCCACCTGTTTATCATGGAGTGTACTGAATGTGCATGAATGAATAATGTTACATAACTTTCATGACCACGAATCCAGTATTTCGTCTCCGTTAATTTCAAAATTTGTTCTGCAATGACCTTTATCTGCTCATGCTCAGACTGCAACCGTGAACTGGCTTATTCTACAAGAGTGTGGAACAGACCAAATAGCAAGAGCAATTTATATTTTGGGTGATAATAATGTTCATTACGCTATTTCTTTAGAATCAAATGGGAGACACAATGAACAGACACAAGAGTTAAACACAAAATTTTCACAGATCTCTTTACATTATCTATAAGATTTCAATCCTGACCCTCCTGTGCAAAAATGCAGGGCCGAGGGACATCTTAAACTTGCTTAGTTATGTTCCATGAGACTTGTGACAAAAAGCAGAGAACCTTACACATCTCCTGGTCTCACCTGTTTCTTATCTTTAGTCTTGGGCTTGGCATCCGTGAGTTCCTTCTTGGTCTTCTCAATATTCTCAGACAGCATCTTGATGGACTTCATGATTTCGGCTCTCTTCAAGGTCGTCATGGTGGACTTGCCCTGCTCTAACTTGGTTATGAGCATCTGATTAGATGAAGAATACAAAAATGTAACAAGTTTAATATTTCAGCCCTCTTTGATATCATTGTTGTGGCCTTGCCTTGGTCAAACTTTGGTACATAGAGACAAACAACAACAAAAAGAAAAAAAGAAGAAAAGAAAGAAGAACAAAAAAAAGAAGAAAAAAAAGACAGGAGAAGCAATTCAAAGATTTTTCAAACTTCAAACCTTAGAAGTATTGTGGCACTGGCTTTTTAAAATGGGGATTTGATGATCTGAGTTTAAAGAAGAGAGCAACAAGGAAGATATTGACGAGAAAAAGAAGCGAAAAAGGGAACAAAGGAAATACAAGATTAAAGAATATGTTGTTCCCTGCCCATAAGAAGGCTCTTACTGCCATTGACACACGACAATACATTTCCTTTTTTCGTGTAGCCGACAATGTTTAAATTGACAATGAAATGGACTGACACTTTATATATTTTTTGTTTAAAAAGATCAGCATAGAAATCATCTTACACACATCAGCAAAGTGACATGTATTAAACAGAATAAAATCACAATTTACTGCATAAACTTTTTTTTATTTTTGATTAAACTTTATTATCTCACTATTTCTGCAGTTTGACTGTTCTAAAATTAACCCCTTTTGGATTTGAATTGACCTTTTGAACTTGAGCACTGCAGCAGACTTAATTTGAACCTGCTCATCCATTCATTGTAAATTACATTCCTCCTTGTTTACAAATTCTGGCCTAAGAGATAACTCTCTTGTTGATTTCTTCCTGTAATCTACACTTTGACAAGCTTGAAATTTTCTCTGTACCTGACTATTGTAAATTTCATTCAAGTATGTCCTGTGTAATGTACAACCTGTCACAGAAAATGTACCTGACAGGAGACATGACCTACATCCATCACTCTCTATTTAACTGACTAGAGTTCACTGACATGTGTAAACCTGACCCTTCATTTAATCTATATATTCTAAATTTGCTTTTAAATTGAACATTTTCAGCCTGCAAGCTGCTTGTTTGATGTGCTTTTGCAAAAAACCAAACCAATTCAATTTTTCAATTTTAATTTATTTATTCAACCATAAAAAAATACATGTACAATAATAATTCATGAAAATATAAAAACATGGGGTTAGGAGCCCCTGAAGAAGTTTGAAAACAAACTTGTGATTGGGGCACCAACCATGGCACATATATCAAGAAAAATTAACAAAAGAATTCCAATTCTAACAATTCCAAATTGCACTGCCAAGGGTCATTTTGATTATTTCCTCAAGACCAAATTTTGTATCATTTACCTCCTGACTGGTATCGCACAAACCAATCTCTGGAAAAACCTACATCTCACAAACATTATTTGTTTTGGATGTTGAAAATTCATCAAATATTCATCAAATATGGTATGCTGTAAAGATAGTAGTGTATGCCATAAAAATCGTGGGGCACGTTATGTTCTTTTTATTCATTATTAGTTGTTAAAATACTCCTGCCAGTGACAGAGGTTGCAAGGTGGTACAGGACAAAAAAGCCTGTTTTATGTCATATTTCCATAAAAAAAACAGTTGAAAAATTCAAAAATTGGTTGGAAGAATTTACTATAATATAAAACCATAAGTATCTTTGGAGTTTTTTCAGGATTTTTTGCATGTTAGAGGGTTAGTACAGTAGAAGGAATAAAATAAGTAACATTTCATACAAGAATTTCCCGATGTTACTGTTCACTTTAAGAAATAACCCCTGGAGTTTTTTTCTCTCTTCTGCTCTCACCTTCTGCTGCTGGATGAATCCGTTCATCAGCTCCTGCTTCTGCTTGAAGATCTCCGTCTGTTTCTTGGCGACCAGCTTCTTTGCCTCCTCCTGCTTCTTCCTCACCGCCTCCTGAGCAGCGGCCAGCTTCTTGGCCACGGTGGCCGAGGTGTGGGCTGCAGCCGCCTTCTTGGCGTTGGCCAGGTTGTTCTGGACGGTGACCAGCCGCTGGTTGATGGCCACGGCCTTCGGGTTCATGATGGTCTTGGTCAAGGTGGAGTTGCCGCCGGGTTGGATGACCACCTGGAAGGGAGAGATGGGAGATTGGTGTGGACTGGTTTGAGATGACATTGCTTTGGATTGGAATGTGGTCATGTGTGATTCTTTTACAGTTTCATCCAAAATTGAAAAAAAATATATCAATGGATGATATTGAGTTTACTAATTACAACTGAAGTGTTTATGAATTTGTTTTTACTATGTCAAAGAAAACTGAATTTTGAATGAAGGAAAAAATATTGCATGCGTTTACTTATTGTACATGTACCTTATACAATTCAATTACTAATTTACATATTTTGTACATAACTTTCAACAACTTCACCTACAAAATAATGTACCCCTGTTCTTGACAAGCAGACTGTGTGGAATGCACAGACACAAGTTGATTTACAAGGGAGAGTGTCATTTAATCTAGCAGTCTATTGAACACAGTAGAACTCGGTAGATCAGAGAACCACTTTTGTGTTTGCTGCTGGCTTGCTCAGCACTGTAAGCAAGTTAATGGTAATTTTACTTGAAGTTACATACAAAGACAAAGGCGTGATGGCTCAGTGGTAGAGCAGTGGTCTCATAACCGGACGATCCCGGGTTTAAAACTAGTACGACAGAGAGGGGAAAGAGAAGTCAAAACAAAACCAAAATAAAACACAAAAAAACAATGAGAAGGATGAATTGAGAGAAAATATAAGAAAGCAGAGGCAAATCCTCCCACAGAAAGTTGGAAAAAATATGTTAAGATGATAGAGAAATTGAAGACTTATAAGGAAAGGTGATAAAGATATACACATTACTGGTGAAAAGAAAGGGGGAAAGGAAAGAACATGACAAAAATATAATGAGACAGATGAAGGAGATGGTGAAATAAAGAAACAAAGAAAGCAAGAAGAGAGAGGCAAATAATTAAAATTGTGAGACAGAGAATGATAGAGAGAGAGAGAGATAGAAGAAGGGAGGGAAACACCCCTTACCTTATCTGACGGAGTTGCATGATTTCTAACGACAGTCAGCTGCTTTTTGGTAGGTAATTGTATTCTTTGCTTTGCAGGTTTTCTTGTGTGATGGTTTGGCTCGTCCTCTCCTGCTGTGTTCTGTAAAGCAACAATGGAGTATAGTTTAAAAAAATAAAAAATAAAAAATTAAAAAAAGAGAGACTTTTCTAGTCTTAGTGGTAATCATTTAAGTTCAGGTCCTGTTTCATAAAACTTGCTACCAATAACAAATGCTAAATTTCTATGGCAAATTTGCTCTCAGCCAATCAAATACCATGATTTCCGTAGCTTCAAAACATATATTGTAACTTGTAATCACTTATTGGTTTATTTATTCATTTGTTTCATTTAAACAGGGTAACTCTCTCAGTGTTACAACTGTTTTCCTGAGACGCTCTGTACAAAATATAGGCTACAAATACAGAGAAATTGAACAAAATTTGAATACATACATACATACATATTGGTGGTCAAAAAATGAATAAAATATAGGATGCGAAGAGCATTACACTTATCTTGCTCTAGCAGTTTACTGCGGCATCTGGCAATGAGGTTTTACTATAGTTACTAATCTAGCTATGGAGCTGATAACCTTGTATATGCATGTGAAAATGTTAGCATACCTCAGGAGGGACATGCCAGAAGACCTTGACAAAGCGGTTGTTGAAGACGGCCTCTGTGGACTGGTAGGCTTTCTTGGCCTCCAGATGAGTTGTGAAGGTGACCAACGCTGCCTCCAGGTCCTGGGCATAGGCAACCTGCCACAAAGGAAATAAATATGGAAAGGTTTTAGATTGCAGGGTTAAAGGCAAGCAGGGGTCTGGGAGGCATGGGCAAAAATATTTGACTCTAGACCCCCTAAATTGAACATTTATTCAATATGCATAGAGACCATAAAAATTACAATCCACTGGTGAATAAAAAATAGTAAGGGAGTCCCGTTTTAAAAGAGGAACCTAGGACAAGCATAATTCACTTTGACCCATACACACATTTCAAACTTCATATTCTGTTTTACATGATCGGCAGACAGATTTGACTTGTGAAGTGCTACATAAAACACATAAAGGTACATCTGATGAATTAATTAGGACTGGCTATTCCTTCTTGACCTGCCCCCCTTGAAATCATATACATGAATTGCGTGAATATGTGTGTAATGGGTATTAAGTACAAAAATATGTACCCCTGTTCTTGACAAGCAGACTGTGTGGAATGCACAGACACAAGTTGATTTACAAGGGAGAGTGTCATTTAATCTAGCAGTCTATTGAACACAGTGGAACTCAGTGGATCAGAGAACCACTTTTGTGTTTGCTGCTTGCATGCTTTGCGCTGTGAACTTGTTTCTCCCTTTCTATTTATAAATCAAACTGTTAATCAAAATTATGGAGAAGATATAAAGCAGCTACTTCTGTATATAAATATTCTCTTCCACTCTATGACGAAAACAAAACTCTTAACAATGCTACTTTACAGACACAAAATAAAAAAGAGAAATTTTCTTATTCAAATGAAAAAATGGCAAAATCTATAAAGGGCTCGATGATTTCTGTTTTTGGTATGGACCAATTACAGGAAGCACTGTAATGTCAATCGTCACACTCACCTGAAGATTGACGATATTGCCAAACTTGCTGAAGTGCTCGTTGAGCTTGGTGATGTTGTTGAACTCCCTGGGTATCTTCCGCACCTCCAGGATCCTGTTGTTTGGCACAAATCTTCCTTTCCCCTTCCCGCCTATCCTGGCCCTGAGATCCACTGCACCGCCGCCGCCCCCACCGTGGTTGTAGGGCCGCTTCGGAGGGGGGTACCCCAAGCCCAAGGGCCTGTCGTTGCTCTTGATGACTGCACGTCTCTGCTCCTCTTGGACACCGAGACCGAGACCGTCTTGGCCCTTGGTGAGGTCAACCACCTTCCTTTCGCTTTGGTTGTCATCAGAGGAGGAGGAGTCCTTCGTCAGGGCACCTATTTCTTCCATTTCTGTGTGGGTGACAAGATGGAAATGACAGGTATTACACACAAGTTTTTTGACCTTTTGACTCTGCAAAATCAAGACCAATACATCAAATAACAAATTTTAAAGGCAGAGAGTTTGCCTATAAAATTAACTGCATTTAGTATACAAATATACACCGTCTTGAGAGGCTCTGGTTAAAACTATGCGCAAGGAGAGCCATAGTTTGAACCAGTACCTCAAAAATAAGACATGGTATATTTGTTTCATATCCTGCATCAATAACGAAATTTAACTTTTTTTTAACTTGACGCAATTTACATTCTTACTATCGAGATGCAATGTTTATAAAAGGTGAGTTAAATAATTTGTATTGAGGCACTGTGTGTAATGGGTATTTAAAGTACATAGAAATCACTTGATTTAGAAATGCCACCTATATGCAAAATAATGTACCCTTGTTCTTGACAAGCAGACTGTGTAGAATGCACAGACACAAGTTGATTTACAAGGGAGTGTGTCATTTAATCTAGCAGTCTATTGAACACAGTAGAACTCAGTAGATCAGAGAACCACTTTTGTGTTTGCTGCTGGCTTGCTTTGCACTGTGAACTTGTTCCCCCCTTTCTAATTATAAATCAAAATTATGGAGAAGAAGTTATATATAAAGACGACCCTTCATAAAAACAGAAAAAAGAAGTGATACAGAATAGAGAACTAGTACCCATAAGATAGAGAGGGAAAGAGAAGTAAATACAAACAAAACAGAACATCCCTCAACAAAATAAAACACAATAAAATAACAACAAATAAACAAAACATCAACAACAATAAAATCATGTATTGAGAGTAAACAAAAGAAAGCATGTAGTATCATAGAAATACATTATTTTTTTTAATTCTGGGAAAATGAGCATGGTTTGGGTAAACAAAGAGGTGTATTTTGAACATGGATTTAAATAATCAACTTTAATTTATGAATCCAACCAAATTAATACGTTTTGCATGCACATAGGAATTGAATACAAATAATTGCAATTTTTTTTGCAGACACTTCCCAAAGCTGTATGCATTAAATTTGGTTACATTACAAAAATCGCCTATTCAATTCAATTCAATTCATTTTATTCTCGATTAAATTCATAAACAATTTTAGAAAATGAAATGGGGAACTTTTCAACAGCTTCTTGGCCATGGCTTACCTTCCTTGGTTGTCGTAGGGACGGTCTGTATGCCCACCAGGGTCCTGAGGTTGGACGAGGCCTGCCGAGGGGCTCGGCCACCTCCAAAATATTGCCTGCCCCCCTGGGCCTCCATGCTGGGATCTTCTGGGTTGTAGCCTTCCATTTGGAAATCTGACAGAAAGGATGACAAGAGTAGTTGTGAAATAGTTTGATGCATGCAGATAATACTACTAATAATAATAATGGTGGCTTCTTATATAGCGCACATGTCCGTCACTTTGTGACGCTGCCCTGATTATTACCCTGGCTTTAGCAAGGCAGCCACTGCTGCGCACTAGCATTTCAATAAATTAGTTCCTGCCAGGTACCCATTTACATCACCTGGGTTGATGATGGTCTAGTACTTAATTTATACTGGGAATCTTGCTGAACAAGCCTAGCTCTTCTAGGATTCCATTTTTTTTCCCTCTCAGTAAAATCAAGCGGTATAAACGTTTTTTTTTCATTCTCAAACTTAATTGTACTCTGTAAACTTGTTTTGTTTCGTAGTTACTTGTACAATTCATTAGTTCTAATATATATTGTCATACTGTATGGTTTATATGTTATTTTAATTTGAGTTAATATCTAAATCAAATCAAATCAAATAGGTGAAGAATCATTACGAAGCAGTGAGTGGAATAAAACTTTGAATGATATATAGTTTTTTACAAATGAAGGAAAGATTTCTTTGAACACTAATACTGATGTCTACCTGAAGCAGAGAGTTAAAATTGGTCCGAAAAAAAGTGACAAATTGATTAAACTTATCATTGCATAACTGTCACAAAGCTCAATATAAAGTTATCTTAAGCCATATATCACATTTATAAAGACAGAAAGATTTCAATATTTAAAGTAATGTACCCTTGTTCTTGACAAGCAGACTGTGTGGGATACACAGACACAAGTTGATTTACAAGGGAGAGTGTCATTCAATCTAGCAGTCTATTGAACACAGTAGAACTCGGTAGATCAGAGAACCACTTTTGTGTTTACTGCTGGCTTATATTGCTACTGATACATTAAAAAAATCCTAACTGATTCGTCCATGAATAAATTCCTAAAATAATAAATGGAAAGTTTAATTGAATTATTCTTGAACATCTGTACGATCCAAGTGAGTAGCATAAAGAGGGGTTATTAAGTAAGAGAATTATTATTTCTTGGATCATAATGAAATGGGTTTGTTTTTTACTCCTAAAGATTCAGTATAACCGTAGCCTTACATGTCAGCATAACAGCTGCCATTTTTTTTTTTTTTTACCTCTCCCCAACAAAAAGTCCTAAAATAAACCAAGAATAATGGTGACTGCAATTTTTGTTTTGCACCTTCCTTATAACTACCATTTTTAGTAAGTTGATCTTAAAATATTAAGCAATAGTTCTGCCGGACAGTGCTAACCTTGCGACGAGCCGTAGGGTTTTGTTTCCGACGGCGGTGGAGGGGGACTGGACTCTCTGGGAGGTGAAGACGGAGGTTGAGGCACTGCAAGATTGAGAGAGAGAGAGAGAGAGAGAAAGAGAAATTATAATAATTATACAGTCAAACCTGTCTACAGCGACCTCCTAAGGGAAACCCAAAAAGTGGTCTCTGTAAACAGGTTCCTTAGTATATGTTTCTATGAGAAACCTTTTTCAAGGGGAACAAAAAATGTGGTCTTTGAAGACAGATTCCTTTAGTAAATGTTTCAATGAGAAATCATTTTCAAGGGAAACAAAAAATGTGGTCTTTGTAGACAGGTGGTCACTAAAACAGGTTCGATTGAAATAATTATGATAATAGTATGCCTTGTTTACCCAGGGCAGCCTCACCGGTATTCATACTGTTCTCCCAGAGGACCGTGCATTCATATCATATCATGATTGAAAACCATACTGTACACACGTGTGCATTCAGGCAAATCATGCAAACAATGCCACTCAAGCAAAACTGAAACTTGAATATAAGTCCAATAAATGCATGCCTTCACATCATATGATGTAGAGACATGCAATTATGCCTATGCGCTATACAAATTCTTTTCATCATTATTATTATGACCACATTCTTGATGTTCCATAAAAGGTGAAATCACCTTTTTTCTTCTTATAAATTTTGACTAGGGCTCTTGGAGCGACCTTTGTAATAATATTTAACCAAAAAAATATCTCACATGGTGCACCCGCAAACCTACTGTATAAAAAAATATGTATTGCAGTGTAAATATCGTATCTTTATTATCTACCAACCACAACGGCAATGAAGGTTAAATGTGTACTGAAATTAGGAAAATGTACAAACAATAACATGAGGAACTTTAATTATGCATCTGTGTTAGTAATTTAGCAATTAAAAGATAATAACAGACCTATGGCAAAGTGTTAGAATGCCTTTTAAGTATCATAAAAATCAAAATGATGACCAAAGGAATATGAGTAGGTTCTGATGGTAACTAACCTGATGGTGGCATATTAGCATCTGGAGCTGGAGGTAGTGGAGGAGGGGGTCTATTCATCTGGAGAGGCATGGGTGGAAGGGGCGGTGGTGGCCCTGAGGTCGGGGGTGGTGGTAGCCTCATGTGTGGTGGTAGGCCTGGAGGGGGACCAGGGGGTGGTCCGTTATGCCTCGGCGGTCCGTGCATCCTCCCAGGAGGGGGATGCATGGGTGGTGGAGGTGGCAGGGGCATCCCCGGGGTGGGCACAAAACCTGGCGGGGGCATGCCGAAGGGTGGTAGGAGGGGCGGAGGTGGCTGGGAAGGGGGTAAGGGGGGTAGAGGAGGCTGTGGGGCGGGGGGTAGAGAAGGCACTGGTGGTCTACTAGCATCCATGTTTGGAGGCGGTCTGAACATGTCTATATCCTCCACAACTACTGGGTCATTGCCATGATCGTATGGACAAAATTCTCCTTTCATGCAAAATCCCTTTTCTGTAAAGTAAGTAGATGTCAGAGAGAAAACATATCAATACATTTTAATAAGTCAGTAAAGTAATTTGATAGTTTGAAATTTATTAAATAATCTCAAAAAGTATTTTTGGCTTGTAATTTTGTTGATACACAGCATTATGAGAAAGTGATAAAGATTTTATTTTACTCTTCAATTGTTACTGCTCATAATCATGTCTTGCAGTTCCATGTACTATTAACCATTTCAATGCCATTGGTTGCAGATCAAGCCTGGGACTCAATCAATGTATGCAATTTTTGAGTGGGAAACTATAAGTAAAATACACAAGTACATTATATATGCCAAAGTTGATGTAATTAAAAGGAACCGGACATAAAACACAAACTGATTCACAAACAATTTTGTCGTAATTGCTTCTTTTTCCTTACACTTTAGAGGTACACTTCACATGAATGGCTACTTTCATGTTTCCCTTTCACTAAACCCCCACTTCACATACCATCATAATCTCTACATCTCTGTCGTATCCTCTGCAGAGGTTGTTGTTGTTGCTGTTGTTTTTCTCCCTGCTTGGGCGGGCCCTGCGCCGGTTCAGGCCCATCGTTTGAGACTACCGTGATCACACTGCTGATTGCCATTGGCTTAGAGTTATTTTCTTTCAATCGATCGTCACGCTCACGGTCGAGGTCTCTGTCACGAATTCTCCCACGATCATCGAATCTGCCGGGATCTAAAAACATGGGAGTGTTTAGGGATCAGTTGTTGGCCAGTACACTCTAAAATCATCCCTAAAACCCCGTAGGCACACTTTCACAGCAACAATTAGGAATCGTCTATTTTGTATATTTTTTCACACAGAATATTTTATCAGAAGAGAGGAATCTAGGGTATAAAACAATAGCTTGGAGGGAAAAAAAATGGAATCCTACCTCCAAAATGAGAAAATTGGGAATAGTTGGAAGCTGCGTTTAGGGCCATAGAAAATAATAACAATTGGATACATGTAGCCCCATTCCCATGGAAACATGGTGCCGTTTCTTGGTCAATAAACATATCATGGAGAAAGGTACAGGTAGGAAGAAATGAGCTACAGATCGCTCATGGCTTGTCAACCTGAAACATATCATTGAGGTTTTTTAATTAAAAATTTCGCCATGAGTAATGACCCCCAATTCGTTGCCATGTTGTGTGCATACACATGTGCTTTTTACAAATTGTTTATTCACTAAATCATATCCATCAGCGCACGTTTTGATAGCATACAATAACACAGACCTTGGGCTTGGTAACATTGACTTTTATCCGTACAATGTCATGTGAACATCGCAATTACAAACCTGCTTTTTGGAAAGCACTATGAATCATGCTTGCAGAGTTTCATGACACAAAGTAATGGTATTAATAACAACAATATTTGAAATTCAGGAAAAGTCCCTGATTTTAGAGCAAAGGAATGGGACAAGTTCCTGGGGGTATTTCACAAAGATCCAAAGTCAAACTTAAAGGTAAAGACCAGTATTGGAAACGCCCAAATTTCAAAAAATGAAATGGAAGCTCTCATTACCAATCATGTGAAAGAATATGTTTTGACTAAATACATGATGATAAAAAATTTGCCAGGAAACCGCCTACTAATTCATATATTTGGTAAATTTGTTTCTCTCATGGTCTGTGAGAGATATAAGGTAGTCCCATATACATCTTTCTGTGTATAGTGCTTGTAACTTTACGAAGAATGGGCCAAATTTCTTATCATTTTGATGATTCCAGAACCTTACAGATGCTAGATGCTAGACGATCAACCTTTTATGATCGATTCCACAACGTTTCTTTCACAATGCAATCGCATGACCATAACTGGTCTTTACCTTTAACTCTAAGTTGTAACTAAAAATTATGGATAGCCGTTTATAGCCTTAAAATAAAATATATTCAAAAGCAAAAGCATTTTAGACTTTCACAAATTCCACATCAAGAAAATGATATCTCCTTGATAATAGAAAATATGAATGATTTGTTATCAACAGCATATGCCTTTTAAAATAACTTCTACAAAATATTTTCATAGATGCTAACGGCTTTCCATAATTGTTAAGTCCAACTTAGAGATACATGTAAGTTCAACTTAGGTTCTTTGTGGAACACCCCCTTGTATCTCCACTTCACATGAATCCTTCGTAAGCACTCCCTACCTCTTCCATCACGACCCCTCATCCGATCTCTTTCCCTGTCCCGATCTCTGAAATCTCTATTATCCCTGTTGCGATCCCTGTCCCTGTCCCTGTCTCTGTCTCGATCTCCGTACCGACGAGGGCCACCGAAGCGATCCGGCCGGTCATCTCTCCTCCTCCGGTCTTCATCTCTCCTCCTTCTCCTGCAAAGACAGTGGAGAGGTTAAAGGTACATAGTGAACAGAGCATGTTGGAGCAGAATTCACAAACCCTTTTCTATTTAACCCTTAAGCAACTAACCCCCCGAAACCGCCCCTCCTTCTACTCACTGAACCGCCCAAAACCGCCTGTCCGTTTTCAACGCGCTATAGTATCCGTTCTAGGGTCTACCGTGAACATGTTATACGTGCGTAATCCTTACAATGTCTACAGTAGGATTCTGCATATGAAATTGCGCATGTTCCATATTGTTCAGAACAATGTAAAATATGAGAGCAACATTGCAACATCTTCCAGTGAGTAATTTTTACAAAATCTCTAGTTGCTAATGGGTTAAGAAGTGCCCAGGACAGCAGCTTTTGTCAAATAAATTCCTTTGATTCTGAGCCAAGTTTCCAAAAAGACAAGAAACATCAAGAAACTGGCCAGTATTAAATTCAAAACTCTGTTTATGTAGAACTTTTACTTAGCATTTGGCTCAACTATTAAAGTCTAAACTCGCATTCAGTTCACATGTAAGCAATTCACTTTCGCAAGCACATTTTACAGCAAATTGTCATTAAATGCCTGCTAATATAATTGTGCGCAGATTACGATAACTGCGTATGAAAACCATTACGCCTCGCCTGTCAATCAATACTCCAAAATAATTGGCTTAAGTTACAAATTCACCTAGTGTAAACAATTGAGAGAGTAGCATTTGTGGCTGGAGCAAGTAATATTGCTATACCTGGGGCAGTAGTTAAGGATAGATTTGATCATATAAGTACCTTGGACTGAAGCTCCTGCTCCTGCTCCTGTTCCTGGGTGAATGGCTCTTTGACTTACTCCTGGAATGTGACCTGGAGTGTCTCCTGCCGCTCCGCCGATGATCCCGCTGCTCATCATTCTCTCCAGTCTAAAAGATGGGATACAAAATTGATGATGTAATGAACAAATCGCATCCCAGAGCCTTTCAATCTTTAATACTCTATGGAAACTTGAAATGCACTTTGCGCCGATATCGGTAGCCGGAGCTCAAGCTAGGGTAATAATTTCCAAAGCTCTTTGGAAGCGCATAGAGACTAAGTATTATGCGCTATACAAGAATGGACTATTAGTATTATTATTATTAACTACATTATCTACGCATCTCCTCAAGTGATACTGATAAGTTTTGTGTTTGTATGCCTTCTCAAGATTAAACCTTTTGTTTGTTGCGACTCAAGAAGTTACAGAATTTTCCCACAATGTTCAAACTATCCCATTTTGGTTGATATTTTTGCCTCACTGCAAGGTCACTCTTGCACGGACCCGCTAGTTTGCCACACATGCAATTCTGCATAAAATAACAGACAAAAATAATGCTTTGTGCAATGTCACACTTTCTTTGCAAAATTACCCACTTCCAGTCTTGATTAGCTCCATGACAACCCTTGCAATACCAGCAAGATTCATTTTGCACAGGAAACAGATGAGTAATGTGTGTGTAATTGGGTTTTTACAGAAGTGTATCAATCAGATACGATTATCTATGTCTGGGGACCTTCACCATCCGATGAGTAATGTGAGGCCTTTACTATATATCTATCACATGACAACCAAGATGTGGCACAGAGAGATTATTTGTGCGGCATCTAAGGAGTTAATTGTCTGCGGTAATTGTCATTCTTTAAAATTTCTCACCACATCTCTATTTGAGCTCCTCGACCTGACCTCTTCTTTGGTTGATGTTTCAGCACTGGTCGGTAAATCGGCACCACCCGGAGCCAACGCTGCGGGCTGTGGTGGCGGCGGATCTTGCTTGCCGCCCTCTACTGCTGTAATATTGGCACTTCCCCCTGGAATGTAAGACTTTGTGGCAAGAGCGACAAAAAGGTTGTCGACAAAGGACTGCGTTTCTGCAAACAGAAGAGGTGAAAAAAAATCAGAGTAGATGAATTTCAAGACATCATAATCAAATGGTATGATCAAGTGACAGTATTGGTGCTCCAACATTAGTGATACAAAGGTTTAGCTTACCTCTACTGGCTACCAATATTCTAGCATAAAGGCATGGTAAAAAAAAGGCTTTCAGTTTTTGCAGTTTTCATTGAAGATTTGAGAATTTGAGGCCTGTAACTTATTAAGCATTTTGAGAGACCTTTTCCACAGCCACTCATAAACGAAGCAAGGACCATCTTCTCACCACATCTATATCGTAAACTTACATGTAACAAGCCCTTGAGCACAGTTACCAGTTATTATGATTTCACATGTCTTTTCTTTCAAAGAAAACAAATAACACTACAGGTATTTACTCTTAGACAGACAACAAACTTACCATTTACAAGAAAGACTCCAAGTTGATCGATGCATGTAGCCCTGAGCTCCTCATTAGTTTTGTCCTTTTTGGTTAGGGCCACCACATACTTGGCCAAGGCATTAGGGTCGGCATCACAACTGTTGGAGAGGAAAATTGCAAGGATATTTCTTTCATTACAATTGTTAACTCTAATTCCATGTGTACTAGAGGGCACAGGTCTGCAGCTAGGTTTCAAGGCCTATCTGACACCCAGTAGTAGGGTGTCTGAACGATTTTTCAATTTTCAATTTGGGATCGTTTTTCACCATTTTTGTTGGATATTTGAAAAAAAAATGTAATCAGAATAATACATGTCAAATTTCAAGACTCACCGATGTTTCCATCAAAAGATACAGCCCCTCAAAAACTCTGCAATATTCATAGCATTTTGGTCAGAATGGACAAAAAAGTGGTTCACGTCGAGTTATCATTTTTTGCTAAACAGCTGCATTCTTATGCATTAGGCTATATGCAAAAAAGGGGGGAAGGGTATTTTCAAACTTAAATCCTACGTGATCCCTTGGGGCTAGCGAAAAAAAAAGAACACCAACGTATTCCTTACGACTTAACTAATTATCCCTCGGGGGTTCGATTCTCAAAAGTTGGAAATCTCCAGAGTTGCCATGGAAACGCATTTAAATCGCTGTTTTGACCAAGATATTTTTAGAAATTTGAAATGACCCCCCTTTGGAAATATGGGAATTAATCTGCCCTTTCATATGACACCTCATTTATTGAGTACCACCTTCAGGATCACAACAGATTAAGGTTTGTATCTTAATTTATTTTTAAAAACTTGACCTATTTTGCAATGCACATGTCAATGGGTTTTAGCACACAAAACGTTGTGCGCGATCAGACACCCTACCAGTAGGCCTACTACACACGCTTTGCGTATATAAATCAGCGATAGATCCGATTCTGCAGAGTGACAGTGTCCGTGTGCAAGAGACAAATTGTTTAAAACATAATTATTCAAAGAAAAATGCAAGTTGCAACATCGCTTAAAACATTCAATGCAAGACAAAGAAAGTTGTTTTCTACGATAGACAAGAATATTCACAATCGATCGCACATTGTCTGGTCATTTTTCATTTTATTGATTAACATCATGTAACCGAGTCTAGCATCTTCTTAAAAAATGAAAAATTCACAGCCATTTTTCATCAGGCATTGATATTTATCATCATGATTATTAATAATTTATACAAATCAACATTCAAATGTCAATTGTCATGAAGACATGATCACGAGTGAGTGACATCGACAATCATGACAATGACAATAACTTGTCATTATTTTATTCAATCCATTCAAGTCTCAAGAGAATAAAATAAATCAATACTCACATTGGTTCCAATTTCTTTGCCAGCCATGCCATCAAGTCTTCCACATTATCAATAACAGGCATTGTTTTCTTTCTCTGTTCGAAAGCGATTTCTATATCACCTGCAACAGTGCATGCATGCAATCATCAGTCTCGGTCGCGGTCTCCTCAATTCGGCTTGCGTGTAAATGTAATGTGATTTTGAATGTCCGTATGTTTCTCACACAATCACAACTCAGCACGAAATTGAAGGTACCAGAACGCTGATATTAGGTTTCCTTCACAAAAACATAACTGACCAGAATCATCTCCACAATATTTTGAGCCAAATTACAACCTTAACTTAATGTTTGACGGCCATCCTTGACTCAATTGGTGCGTTTTAGGGTAAATTCAGCAAGTCCCATGCAGTGAATACGTAAACTCAACGTAGTTGGCGTATTAAGTGCGTGCGCCTAATAATGCATGTACTGTACGCGCTGTTTGAAATTTTACTACATAGATGTTAATGCTTAATGCATGCAACACGCAAAACGTGTGCGTTGTAGAGAGTGGCGTAGCGGGAGCGTGGCCATTGTAGAAGAACATTTTATTTTTTATTAGGGGGGGGGGGGGGGGGTAAAGTATTTAAGATCATAAGAACATTTTTTAGCAGGCCAGGGGCAGCGGAGCGTCATTAAAAGTGTGTGTGTGTGTGTGTGTGTGGGGGGGGCACCAACAAAAAGGGGCACCTTCAAAGGGAAACCTCATATCGAAAATATACAATTTTTAGACATTGATATGCCTATATTATATACCCCTCCGTTGTTGTGTAGTAGTAGTAGCTGTCTGTCGCGAAGCGACAATGACCGCCTTCATTTTCACTTTACAGCTGTTCTCCATACAGCTCGCTGGCCTGCAGCAGTTGTCCAAGTCTTGGTTTCAATTTGCCTCCGCTTAAGGTTCCTCTTGATCGTGTCCTTGTAGCGAAGCCGTGGACGACCAATCCCTCTTTCGCCAGCGGGTAGTTGCGAGAATAGTACTTGCTTTGGTAACCTCTCAGAGGGCATCCTGATGACATGGCCTGTCCATCGTAGGTTCTTCCTGATGAGCAGGTCCTCCATAGAAGGAAGGTTTGCTCGCTCTAGTACCTCTTTGTTGGTCACCTTGTCCTTCCAACTGATTCTCATGATTGCTCGAAGGTGTCTCATCATGAACGCGTGAAGTTTCTTTACTTGACTTTTGTAGAGAGTCCAGCTTTCCGCACCGTATAAGAGAGTGGATAGGACGATAGCCCTGTAGATTTTGCACTTCACTCTTGTTGAGACATGATGGTTGTTCCATAGCCTGGTTCGCAGTCTTCCAAAGGCACTGCTGGCCTTTGACATTCTTTTCACCAGCTCAGAGTCGATGCGTCCGTCTTTGGATATAGTGCTGCCGAGATAAGTGAAGTCATCTACCTGGTTTAGGGCTGTCCCATCCACTAGGATCTCCTCCTCCTCTCGGTGGTCGACCTGGTTGGAATAGTACTTCAGTCTTTTTGATGTTTATTTGTAGACCGAACTTCTTTGATGCTGATGAAAATACATCTATAACATGTTGCATCTGCTCTGGTGTATGAGAAACAAGAGCACTGTCATCTGCAAAGAGGATCGAGTTCCCTCACGAGAATCTGTGTAGACTTCGTCTTAGCTTTGAAGTGTGCGACATTGAATAGGTCGGCGTCTTGACGTGATTGTATGTAAACGCCTTCCTCAAAGTCCGCAAAGGCCTCCTCCAGCATCGCCGAGAGAAAGATGGAGAACAGCGTAGGGGCCAACACACATCCTTGTTTTACACCGTTACTTACAGGGAAGCTATGGGATGTTTCGCCTGCTTCCTTGACTTTAGCCATCATACCCGTATGTAAGGACTCTACCATTCCGGTGAACTTCTCGGGACATCCGTACTTTCGTAGTAGTTCCCAAAGACCTGTCCTACCAACAGTGTCAAAGGCTTTCGTGAAATCGACAAAAACCACATAGAGGGATCGGTTGTGCTCAATGCACTTCTCCTGTAGTTGTCTGAGGCAGAAGATCATATCTACTGTGCTGCGGTTGTTCCTAAATCCGCATTGCGTCTCCGGCAATATATCTGGTGCTATGTGGGCATTCAATCTGTTCAGAAGGATCCTGGCAAAAACTTTCCCTGCTATTGACAATAGCGATATTCCTCTGTAGTTTCCACATTGAGTTCTATCTCCTTTTTTGAAGATGGCGACAATATTAGCATCCTTCCATTCCTGAGGTACGGAGCCTTCTGCCCATGCTTGTTGTATCAGCATTAGTAAACTGTTGGTTAGTGTGGCTCCTCCGTGCTTCCATATCTCGCTTGGTATCCCATCCACTCCGGGTGCCTTGCCATCACCCAAGGAGGCAATTGCCAGGTTTAGCTCTTTTCGTGTTGGAATATCATCGAGTGCAGTAACTACAGGTCGCTGGTTGATCCTATCACGCGCTGCAGGCTCGATATCTCCTGGCTGGTTGAGTAGTGTCTCAAAATGCTGCGACCATCGTTCAAGCACCCTTTTGTTGTCTGAAAAGGTTGTGTTACCGTCCAGGGACTTGAGATGAACTGTACTCCTAGTCTGGGGGCCCCAGACTTCTTTCAGTCCAGTTGTTGTGTATGCTTATATAAATAGATCAGTGCTATTACAATGATAAATATTCCGCTTGCGCTTTTTATATATAAGCAGTCCCTTCCTGCCTGGTTTGAAAAATAGTGTCGCTGGGTTGAAGGTGAAATGGTTCCCATTTAAAAAAAACCATGAAGTCACACTACTTACCGGCGAAGTAAAAATAAAGTTTGAACAAGTTTATTGCTTGTTTTTATATTATAGTTTTGCTAAGGAGTGTAATGGTTTAATCCAACAAACTTCAAAAACCTGTGAGGGGGGTCACTTCCGTCACATTCGCCCCTCTCGTTCACTATGCTACTTCGTCCCTCACATTTCGCCCCCCCCCCCCGGTCATGAAAAGAAATCGCCGCCCTGACTGAATGTAGTGTTTTTAGCCAGATTATAGCGATAAAAGTGTGTGATTTTTTAAATAAAATTAGGCTCTTACGGAAATGATTTCATGAAATCACAAACTGCCGACATGCTTGACGATGTCTTCTTGTTTTTACGCATTTCCTATTTTTACGCTTTTTTTTGCTGAATTAGGTTTGCTAAATCGCGCTTTCAGAATTTAATATTGTCCTGCATTTACCATTTATTTTTGCCGGGGCCTTGGTTGGTTTCTTTCTATTTCTCTATAACTAACTTTTTCAAAAATGTGGGAGGGAGGGGGCGAGCCCTGCCGTAGCGCGGGCCCTGATAAGTATATCATTGAACGAGCAACGCTCTTATCAATATCAGATTTAGACACAAACATATGAATAGAAGATACAAAAAGAATACGTTTCAAGTTTTCACAGAAGGCTCAATAATCCATCTTACTGTATAGCCATAGAACAGGTCGCTTCAAAAAAAAAATCAAGGCCTTTAATATTGTAAGTATGCCTACAAGTAGTGTAAAATAGGCCTACAGTATATTATTTTCGCTTAAAAAGAACAAAAAATATATAGATCTATAAGTCGCTGACTTGCCACAGAAAGCAAAGGGGGATATAATTATAGCTGGACGAGTAAATTCTGTACTCTGATGTCAGTGATGCGCCTTTGTCGAATAGTTGAGTCGCCCCTCAAACATAAAATGATGAAGTAAATAACTAGAACAAATATAGATGACGATGCCTCTTTTCTCATTTTAGACCCACCGCTAACATGGGCACCTGAACACCCACCTCGCAACTAGAAACATTCCATCTTTTACTCGATGAATCTTCAAATGCTCACCGACCTCATCAAAATACATCAAGGAGTCAAGTAACCATGGCAACGGATGATACACAGGTACGTTTCGGTAGAGGATCGTTAGTATGTTTGACACTTATCGTGCCCACACAAGGTGACCTTTGACCTTGGTATTTATTATCACCCCAACCCCTCGTCTCCCCCACATGTTGACCCCATTTCGTCTCATCCGACTGCCACTGTTTGTTATCTTTTCGTGCGATGATCAAAAATAATCTTTAGCATCTTCATATTTTCGAAACATTTGAAATCAGACAACAAATAAAAGGCCCTTCACAAAGATATATATATATATATATATATATATATATATATATATATATATATATATATTTGCACAAGCAGGGCAATGACTCTCTGGCTAGGGCGTTCCTCTAAAAGTTTGTTAAAAAATTGCAAAAATAAAGACAAATTAATACAATTATTTTATATCGCGAAGAATCCCTGTCATAAGTTAATAAATAATGATTTAAAAAAAAGCATCAATTTCAAAATTGTTATGGCCTAGAATAATACTCCTCCCAATCCTTCCTTAGTCGGATCTAGAAAAAAAAGAGAAAAGAGAGAGAGAGAGAGAGAGAGAGAGAGAGAGAGGGAGGGGGAGGGGAGCGGTGGGCGGGGGGGGGGGGGGTTGGTATTGGTATATTTTATTTATTCACGGTTAAAAACAAAAAATACAATTGTGCCCGCATTCAGCAAAAGCGTAGTTAATACGCTCTATCTTTAAAAATGTTTAATATCACTTGAATTGACATTGAATTTACATTTATTTCCATCATCATGACAATATATACAAAGGCAAAATATGGAATTTCATGACAGATAACAATATCAAAATAAATTGATAAAACAGCATACAAAAATCAAAATATAGAGAAAGTATGAAGGTATAAACCATAGTACAAATAGAAAATGGTGCATCCGTAAAAGCCAATAAGGCTTGACATTTGAATGCAACAGGCGCATATACTGGGGACAAATAGCAATATCGTTTAAATTCTAAGCTGCAGGCAAGAGTTTATTCCTCCTAAAAATGAATTATTAAAAGTCATATACAAAAATATATAATCAAGCAAACAAGTCTCGGGATCTAAGTATTAACCTTTGATTTCTCTTGTATTTATTTTAAAAAATCACTTCGGTAATTTTTTTAGTTATTGGATTTTTAATATTAATATAATCATTATTTTCGACTATGTTTATGTATACCAAAGTAAAATCATAGTTTGTGATTTTCTTCTCATTTTAGATTCTTGAATGTCTGTGCATGACCTTTAAAAATCCCAGTCCCAGACAAGTGACGATAACTGTTGAGGTCACGTTCGGGGTCACCTCGATGTCCCCCTTCCATCCCCGGACGATATCAGAAATTGGAACAATTACAAGCGATGATGACAAGTGCAGGTGAGGTGATTAAGAAACAACGAGCTTCTTGTCCTATCTGGTAGGGTCGAGGAAAAAGAAGACATGATCTTCAGAACATACTGCCTCTTTTTATAAATCCTCTTCATGACATGGTTGGATTTGACAGAAGGCTGCGACTCCTGCGAGCATTCGAATATAAGAATCCTTCGAATATCA